TTTTTTTTGCCTTGGTCGCACTGTAGCGCAAGGAAGACTACAAGCAGACTGTTCTTTCTTCTTTAAGATGGCGACTGAGCTTCAGAATTACTCTATTGTATACTACTCCCGTTGCACCATGCCTTCAACCGGTACAAGCCGGAGAAAGTGGGATGGTCTAATCCCCATCGTTGCCGTTGCATCTCGTGTATTTAGAGTTTTTCATAAATGGCACATTCCATAATCTAACATAATCTTTTATCTAGATCAGGGATGCAAAGTTACAGCACTGGACATCCAAGCCTTGGAGGTATCTGATATACAAGGGGAGTCCTACTCCCGGCTACACTTCCTGAAAGGTGACATCACAGACGAGGAATCCGTCCGATCCAATATTGCGCAGGCCAGCAAGCGATTTGGGCCTATCAACATCTTGATCGCAAATGCGGGCATCACAGATGAAAGCAAAAACTACCCTATCTGGGAGTTGCCAGCAGAGATCTGGGATCAGACGTATCGAGTCAATGTTCGAGGAACATTCCTGACAATCAAGCATTTCTTGCGAGCAGCACGAGTGTCTCAACAGACGCTTGGTAAAGAGTTGGACAACCTAGCTATCGTGCTAACCGGAAGCGAAACGGGCAAGTTTGGTCAGGAAGGCCATGTCGAGTACGCATCTGGGAAGGCTGGCTTGCAGTATGGCCTGGTCCGAAGTGTGAAGAATGAAATAGTTCGCCTCAATAGCAAGGCACGGATCAATGCTGTTGCACCTGGATGGGTAGATATGCCCTTGATAGAAGGCAGGCTCGATGATCCCAAGGAGATGTGGGCTGAGGCCCAAGCTACGTACGTTCACCACGTCCAATCCTCTATTGCTACAATTTATAGATCTTCGCTAAATGGTGTAGGGTACCTCTGAAGAAAATCGCAAGACCAGAGGACATAGCCCGTACGATGGCTTTCTTGGCCTCTCACCGCGCGGCAGGACACATATCAGGACAGTGCTTAAGTGTCGACGGAGGAATGGAAGGTCGCTTGATCTGGAAGGAGAGCGAAGCCGTCAGAGAGACAGAGGACCGAGTCGATCACTCCGAGTCGAGTATAGTCCAATCAATTCCAAGGGCTGTATCAAAGCCCAAGCAGAATAAAATCCGGATAGCCGTCTCCATTGACCTAGACGCAGTGTCTGGATGGCTAGGGACAGGTAAGCCGTTTTTCCCATCATTATAACGATCTACAGATGCTAACCAAACCCCTACAACAACCAGGTCAGCACCCCGACAACATCCTAGCAGACTACTCCTCCGGATTTTTCGCCGCCAAAGTCGGAGTTCCACGTCTCTTAAGGATGCTCAAAAAGCTCGACCTAGCCGATCGTTGCACCTGGTTCATCCCGGGCCACTCCGCGGAGAGCTTCCCAGAGGAGGTGCAACACGTAGTCGAGTCAGGTTGTGAGATAGGACTTCACGGCTACGCCCACGAAGGAGCATACCAACTGACAGTCGAGCAAGAACGGGACGTGCTTACCCGATGTATCGACATTGCAACCAAACTAACAGGCAAGAAACCCGTCGGATACCGCGCACCTCTATACCAACTGCGCGAGTCAACATTAGACCTATTAGAAGAGTACGGATTCGAATATGGTGAGAGTTACTCCCTTTCTACCCCGACAATTCACCTTTCTAACTTAACCCAAAACAGACGCTTCCCTAACAGACCACGACTGCCACCCTTTCTTCGCCCCAAAACGTCCACCCCTCCAACCCATCAATTTCTCCCTCCCCGCCTCGACCTGGATGCACCCCATCCCACCTACAGCAGAAGATCGCCGGCCCCTCGTCTGCATCCCCTGCAACTGGTACATGGAAGACATGACCCCCATGCAGTTCCTTCCTCACACGCACAATTCGCACGGCTACACCGATGTCCGCGTGGTCGAGAACCTCTGGCGGGATCGCTTCCTGTGGATTCGCGAGAATGAGGACGAGCCCATCTTCCCCGTTCTGATGCACCCAGATACTAGCGGTATGGCGCATGTGATCGGGATGTTGGAGCGGTTGCTGACGTGGTTGAAGGGGTGGGGGGATGAGGTTGAGTTTTGTCAGACGGGAGAGATTGCGAGGTGGTTTAGGGAGCGGGAGTTGGGGAGTAGTGAGAGTTCGTGAGGTACATAGGTATATTTAAATCAAGCTTACTTTTCTTCGAATGTTTTGGAATATCTACGATGGTTATCATTTGGAATATTGATGTGACGTTCGTAGGATTTGCTCATTAATTTAAGGATTTGGATTCATTATTTTGTCGATACATCCACTTAATTCAGCTGAATCTATTTATTAGAGCACATTATCTCAATGCCGTGTACAAAAGTGCGTATAATATGTCCGAAGTAAGAAATATTAACAACATATTCCAGTATCCATAATCAAACCAGAAGGACAAAAGTCATGTTATCGTCATCAGTCATCACTCCGTGTCTTCAGAATCTTACACCCCCTTTTTTTTATTATTTGCTGATAATCCCTTGCTTTTAGTAAATTTACTCGTAGAGATCCATGTCACCACTACCGTCTTCCATCTCGGCTATGGCTTCATCTTCACTATCGAGCATGTCTTGATCTTCATCAAACGGGATCTCATGGTTTGGCAGGACATCAATACGACCATCGCGCATGATAACGCGAGCCACCTCGCCGTCAACGATGCTTCCACGTAGGATAAGAATAGCGAGACGATTGAGGACTTCGCGCTCGATGATACGAGCCAAAGGTCGAGCGCCATAAGCGGGCGAATAGCCTGCGTCGCCGAGGTAGTCTTTGACCTCCTCTGTGCATTCGATGGTGACGTTCTTGCCGTTTTGCTCCAAGCGCTTTTGAACTTCGCCCAGACGGAGATCAACGATCTTGCGGATTTCTCTCTTGGTGAGGCGATTGAAGATGACGGTGCTGGAGATACGGTTGAGGAATTCGGGAAGGAAGTAGTCACGGAGGGCGCCCATGACCAATTCACGAGTTTGAGGATCAATACGTCCGTCCTTAGTGGTGGGACGAGCCAGGAATTCGGCACCCAGGTTGGAAGTCATGACGACGATGCAGTTCTTCGCGTCGACAATTCTGCCTTGACCGTCTGTGATGCGTCCGTCGTCCATGAGCTGGAGAAGAACGGTGAGAACCTCCTTGGCTGCCTTTTCAACTTCATCGAAGAGAAGAATAGAGAACGGGCGTCGCCGGAGGCTTTCAGTCAGCTGGCCACCAGCATCATGTCCGACGTATCCCGGAGGCGCACCGATCATACGGCTTAAGGAGTGGCGCTCCTGATATTCGGACATATCAAAGCGAATCATAGCTTTGGGGTCATCGAAGAGGAACTCCGCAAGAGCCTTCGTAAGCAAGGTCTTACCAGTTCCGGATGGACCACAGAATAGGAAACTTGGCGGCGAGTTGGGGTTGCTGAGGCCAGATCGCTGGAGTCGGATTGCATTTGATACGGAGGTCACAGCCTCCTTCTGGCCGACGACTATCTTGGCAAGGTGCTTCTCCATGTTCAACAACTTGTCCTTCTCAGTGGTCTTGAGTCTGGTGACAGGGATACCAGTCCACCGGGCAACAATCTCGTTGATCTGATCGGGGCCGACAGCATCAGCGAGCAGTGTCTCCCCAGCGTCTCCGGAGCGAGCACGCCGTTCTTCATCCGCTTTCGCACGGTCCACCTCGAGTCGTTCGATCAGGGCTTTGGTCTCCGGAATGGCGTAGTACTCCAAGTCAGCGGCAGTCACTGTATCCCCGGACCGCTCTGCCTCATCTCTTTTAACCTTGAGGGAGTCGAGCTTGATCTTGGCATCCTGAATGGCCTTGCTGCGCTGCTTCTCGCTTTCGTACTTTTCACGCAGCGGGCGCAGTTCCTCGGTGACATTGGCTGCCTCCTGCTTGGCTGCCTCCAAGCGAGCTCGAGATGCGTCGTCTTTCTCGCGCTCGAGGGCATGGATCTCGATTTGCAGCTGTCGGAGCTTTCTCTCCAAATTATCCAGGGCCTCGGGCTCGGACTCACGTGTCACTCTAACGGCGGCGGCAGCTTCGTCGATAAGATCAACTGCGGAGTCGGGAAGTCGACGAGCGGTCAGGTAACGCGAAGCCAGTGTAGCTGCGGAAACAATGGCACCATCGAGGATATTGACACCATGATGCACTTCGTACTTCTCCTTCAAACCACGAAGGATAGAGATAGTCTCGTTAACAGAAGGCTCCTTCACCAAGACCTGCTGGAAACGTCGTTCAAATGCCTGGTCCTTCTCAATATATTTCCGATATTCGCCTAGTGTCGTAGCACCGATACAGTGGAGTTGGCCGCGAGCCAACATCGGCTTCAAAAGATTAGCGGCATCCATGCCACCCTCACCGCTGGAGCCTGCACCCATGAGAAGGTGGATTTCGTCGACAAATAGAACGATGGTTTCTTTAGATTCTTCGATCTCTTTGAGGACTCCCTTCATTCTTTCTTCGAACTCACCCCGGTACTTGCTTCCTGCAACCAATGAACCAACATCGAGCGAAAGCAATTTGCATTGAGCCAAGTTGGCTGGGATATCGGCATTCACGATTCGGCGAGCCAACCCCTCCACAATGGTGGTTTTTCCGACACCAGGCTCACCGATGAGCACTGGGTTGTTCTTCGTTCGGCGACTGAGGATACGAATCACTCGACGAATTTCTTCCTCACGGCCAATGACAGGATCAATCTTGCCCTCTCTTGCCAGGGCCGTCATATCAATGGTGAACTTCTTGAGGTTTTCATTCTCGCTTTCTGAGTCGGCTGTTTTAGAATCTACCCTCCTCGTACCGCGAATCTGCTGAACGGCAGAATCTAGTAACTTGACGTTGGGAATGTTGGCATCCGCTAGAGCTCTCTGGACCTGAGAGTCCTGGGCGACGGACACAATCAAATGGTCGATAGCGACGAAGCTGTCCTTCTGGGTTTTGGACAACTCGGTAGCTGACCGAATAACCTTGGCTAGTGCTGGAGAGACACTAACGGATTCAGGAGGAGGGTCTTGGCTTGGGCAGCGGACCAGGATCTTCATGAGAGAGCGTTCGAGGAGCTGAGGGTCGCCATGGGCACGTTCAATGACCTGGCGGAAGAGAGGGGCCGAGGAGGAATCGTGTGAGGGGTGTGCGGGAGCTTGTTGGTCTTTCGATTCATCTGGAGAGGGATTTAAGAGGGCCACTGCTAGGTGGACGGGGAGAATCTGAGAATGAGAGTATTGTTCAGCCAAACTGCTGGAATCCAGCAGGGCCTTGTTAGCTCTGTCTGTGAATTGAGCGCCGTTCATGGTGAAACGGGTAAATCAGTTGTGTGTGCTCGAATAGACAGGTCTGTAAGGTAGTTGAGGTAGTTGAGGTGACTAAGAGAATTAGAAGAGGTTGATTTTAACTATTATGATAGTTATCTGTATGACTGATACATAAAATAACGAAAGATGCTGGTGGTTGGAGCTCGCCGATGTCTATATAGCTCGGTATTGGGCATCCTTTTCAACCTTCCAGACCCTCCATGACGACACGAGGAACTTCCACCGCCTTCCAGAAGCACCTATGAAAAGGAGGGGTGATCCTTGGTCACTGACGTCACGTGGTGTTGGTGGCCTGATCGAACGGGCGACTGTCATCTGGACTCTTCTACTTATGACCCGTGTCAACTGGACAATTCTGGGCTATATACTCCGGAGTATGACTACTCCGTACTGAGTATGTATGTACTGCACGTGCTGTGCTTCCTCTAAGTACATTGAACTAGTTACGCTAGTCTGTACTGTAGTAGTAGTAGTAGTTGCCTGGATGCCTGGATGCCTTCCCTGCCTGGCAGCCTGAGATCTCAGAGAGATCTCAAGCCATCGATCGATAGCTCTGTACATGGTACATGTGGTACTGTACATCGGCGTTACTTGTCAGTACATGGTAAGGTACTGGAGCTTCCTGTCTTGTTTTAGAATTTCCAAGTACCTCCAAGTACCCACTCATACTAGATGGGCCAATAATCCGCCGGAGCGATTATCAACCGACGATGATGATTGGAAGAAGAGCACCGGTCGAGTCTCTCTATCCACCTGCCTAACTTAAAAACTTGAGTTGTCCCTAAGGTCAGCTTCTCTTACCCCCACGATGGGATGAATCGTGATCCGATTGAATGCAATTGAACCGTCCAACAAGGAGGGATGAGAGCGAAAGTACTATACCAGGTTGGGTCAAGATAGGGACACAGGATCACCCGCATTGGCACGATAACTTAAAATATAACCAATGCCATCCGACCACCGGCGCAATGGACCGTCACTATGGACCGCGATCGATCTCCATTGGATGTTTCAGACACATCTGCCATTGGGAACTAAGGTTACTAGTCCATGACACATCCACATCATGACTACTAGGGACGAGAATTCAATCGGCATGTTTCCCCATCACCATGGACGCCTTGCGTGGTCTGCACGATGCAACGAACTCTTCTCATAATACCTAATAGTAATGAGAATATTCCTATTATCCGCGCCATTTTACTCTCTCTTGGTATCTCCTCTCTCCTCTATTCATTTTTGGATTATTCTTCTAAGCTGAGAGATTTTCGCGGGGCTAGTCCATCCATACTAAACAATGAACCTCCCTTGTCTGGCTCGAACTCGATGTTTAGTTTATTATTGATGCTGTTTTTTCGGCTTCTCCTCTTAACCGCCTTGATTTTTATATTTAACTCCAAGATGTTAAGATCGCCGACTCTCGTTCCTTTTTTCTTTCTCTCATCCCACGTTTTTCCTAACAAACCCCCTGTCCCTTCCCTTTCTCTCTCGTTTTTTATCTTCCATCCGCCTCGTCATGACGTCAAAAGTGGACACGGCCCAAGTTGCCCTGGGTTTTGACGGATGGGATGACTTCAGGCAGCCGACATTGTTAGCATATTCTCCCGAGGCATAGTTGACTATCCTTGGAACTTTGATCCCCTCCCCCCCTCCAACGCCGGTAAGTAAGTACTAGCCCGTCCTTGCATCTTGCATGTCCACTTTTTTTTTTCCCTCAACGCAGGAGCCTCGTTATGCGCCCGTGGTTCAGGAACTGGAGTCCACTTCGTGTCTTGTCTAGACCTTAAGTGGCCCCCCTCAGCGCAGAGGATTCGATAGGAAAGGAAGGCGATGCGGCGGAGCGTCCGGTAGATCGTAATCCAAATTATCGTAGTGAGAAGGGGCGTTTACCTGATAGAGGTACTATCATGACAGCCATATCCATACTACTTCTTACTACTCTGCACCGGTGTCAAAATCTGTGATCGGAGAGACAACCTGGTTTGTCCAAGTGGATGTGAATTAGTTAGTAGTATATTTATCGCCGTTTCATTTGGGAAATAGTCATCAAGCTAAATCTGCAAGTTATCATGCTGCTTCTCCTTCGGTTTGCCATCTATGTCGTAGTCTCTCGTTGCACTTGCTTCTTGGGGAATAATCCTCAGGCGTAGTTTACTTGGTGACCGTATCTCTACTAATCAGATCCATGAGAATTCTTTTTTATTTTTTATTTTTTTGATTTTATTTTAGTATCTTTCGTCAGTGGCTAGGAACCATCGCATATTTTGGGGGTGGTGGATTTTGTTTTTCATTTTTTTTTTCTTTCTTTTTTTCTATTCTGGGCCCCCTCTTCCATCCAAACCGACGGCCCTATGAATTTCTATAAGAACCCACTCGTTCCTATCTCTCGTTTCCTGGTTCCAGTTTTCTTTTCTTTCATCGTGTTCAGTCTCAGTCCTTATCGATCTGAGTCGGTCCCGATTTGGAATCATCTTCTTTCCATTCCCCATACCTACTAAATTCTCTTCATCTTTTTCCAATCCGGCATATTGCCTCCCGGGATCATTTCCCCCCGTTCAGTGTAAAAAGTGAACCGAGTAAGACTGGATATCAGTAGCTACGCCTGTGGTGAAAATCCCTGGCGGTTGGTGTATCACTCCATATTGCTCACAGTCTTCATTTGAATCGTTGGATCACCATTCAAATAGATCTTGTCTGTCACAGACACAAGAGATAATTGCAAAGATGTCGCAGAAGCCCATCTTCGTCGCTACTCACCCCCGCGCATGCTCAACAGCATTTGAACGAGTATGATAATCTCTTTAATTCCTCCTAGTCTAACTATGTGGATACGGAATCACTAATATTCGCAGGTCTTCATGACTCGCCGGGATACCATCCAGTGTATCCATGAGCCATTTGGCGATGCTTTCTACTATGGCCCAGAGAGACTGGGCACGAGATTTATGGACGACGAGAAGACGCGCCTAGAGAGCGGCTTCAGTCAGTCAACCTACAAGACCGTGATGGATAGAATAGAGCGTGAAGCTTCTGAGGTCCGACCCTTGCTCTTTTCTCCTTTCTTTTCTTTCTCGCCGTAATGCCCTGTCCTGACTGGACGATGATGAATCGACCTCAATGGCATTCGGGATGCGTATGAGGTTGATGTAATTACTGTACCCTATTTGATCCCCAAGCACGTCTGCATGGGCTGTTCCGTCAGGGCTTCTGCGGATGCCGGATGGGACACTCGGCCTTCCCCTTTCTCCTCCACTTTTCACACCGAAGGTGTCGGATCTCAATTCCCATCTCGCAAGTGAACCACGACGATTATCTCATGTTTTTGCCTTGTATTGTCACGTCGTGGTCTTCAAGACGAGTCACTTACCGCATCGCAGGGCAAGAGAATCTTCATCAAGGACATCATCCACTATCTCCTTCCCCCAAGCGGGAAGCCAGCCAGTATTGCGCCATCTCTGCTTAGAGTGAAGCGCGGTGTCGGCACCGAAGCCAACGGCCATGCTGACAACGGTGTGGAAAGCAACGGCCATGTCGAATCGGGACAGAGCACCAAGCAGACGTCCCAGTACCCGTACTCCACAGAGCCAGAGCCAGGTAATCCCACCGTAATGCCCAAGGAACTTCTCTCCAAGTTCCACTTTGCCTTCCTCATCCGTGATCCCCACTTCAGTGTCCCTTCATACTACCGCTGCACCATTCCCCCCTTGGACGACGTCACCGGGTTCTATTATTATGACCCAGCCGAGGCCGGGTACGACGAGACCCGTCGGACATTCGACTACCTTCGGAGCGTCCACCTGATCGGGCCACATATCGCGACGAAGGAGCAGGACGCGGACGAGATCGACAACAAGCTCAGGCCCGTCATCAACGGGGTCGGTGAGGCACACGAATCGGCGGAGATCTGCGTCGTCGATGCAGACGATATGCTCGAGAAGCCGGGCCCGATGATCGAGGCGTTCTGCCGCAGCGTGGGCATCGACTATGACCCGTCCATGCTGGACTGGAACGACGAGTCCGAACAGAAGCAGGTGTGCGATGCATTCGAGAAATGGAGGGGATTTCATAACGACGCCATCGAATCGAAGGGCCTAACAGCCCGGACACATGTAAGTCTGCAGCAACAGCAACCTCTGGACCAAAGAGGGGGGGGGTTGGATAATCACTAAACCAGATTCACCAGGGTCGGCCCGTGAAAACCGAAGAGGAATTCGACGCCGAATGGCGCAAGAAATACGGCCCAGAGGCCGCCGCCCTAATCCGTAAATCTGTGGACGAGAACATGGCGGATTACCTGTATCTCAAGCAATTTGCCATGAAAGTGTAAGTCGAGAGGAAGAGATGAAGAGGAATTTAAGTTGCAGGAGAACGGACAGGAGGAATCCACTTTTTATTATTAGGTTTCCTGGGTTGTTTGCCTGTCTCTTCAATGCCGGTGATGATCATGATGAGATCTTAGCTCTGATGACGCCATTTGATGCTCCGCGTTCATTCGTGTTGTCCTTTTCTTTTTGAACTCTCCTTGCGTCGGATCCTGGTGTTTTCTTGTTTTATTACTGTTGTATCGTGTTGTATTGGGAGACTTAGTCTCATCCGTGTTACGGAGTTGTTTGGTTATTTTGACCCTGCGTAGAAGTCCGAGTAGATTGAGGTACTCCGTAGAGTATACGGAGTATATCATATACCTCCATAGAGCCTCGGCAACACTATAACATACCCCATAGATTTAGAAATTAGATTCCACTTCTCTTTCTTCGTGCTCTTCAGTCAATGTCTAATATTCAAAATGTATAATAATATATAAAGCGAGAAGCCAGAAAGACCGATGCATATCATTCATCGTACAGTACCTATCATGCACGTGCCCAATCCAACCCAGTCTGCAGCTACTTCTTATATAGATTTTCTGAGATAATATCACACACACACGGCCCCACCGTGCTGTAGAAACAAAACGCAATACCAAGTCCCAACGTAAATGAGCGAAAGAGAAACGCCTGCACCACGCTATATCTCACGGCATTATACCGCACTGTAACCGCCTCTGGACCCCGATCCTTGGAGCGTGTTGACCACTCGACGGAGCCAGTCCTGGAAGATATAGGGAATATCCCTGATAGTGTCACCGTGAGGGAGGAGATCCCATCCTCGGGCGCCGTAGCGGTTATAGTTAAGCCAGGAGCCAAAGATAAGGTAGGCAGCGATGCAGAGGAAGAGGCTGCGACACAAAGTTAGCACCCATATAGATCAGGGATAATAAAAGGAGCATACATGATAATCAACCAAGTGAAGACACCCCAGTGACTAGATGAGTCACCTTTTTTTTCTTCCAGGTAATGATCACAGGCGTACTTGGTCCTCCAGTTCAGTTTGAGCACATATGAGTCGTCATCGGCCTTTCCAAAACTCTTGAACTGGAGCGACCGGTCTTTCTCCTCGACCGGTGGCTGTTCTTTATCGTCTCCTCCTTCTGCGCGTCTCCGCTCGGCCTCTTTCTTCTCGTTGTCGGTCTCATCGGTCGTCTTCAGACCTTCTAATCCCGACCGTTCGGGGTCACATTGAAACTCGAGCACCGCGCCCGCGTCTTTCTTCTTCCCCTCATCATCGACGTAGTTACCTCCAGAGAGTTTGACCAGTAGACCCTCCTCATCCGGGTCGAGCTTCTTCAACCGGGTGATCTCGGGGTCTTTGCTTCCGTGACCAAGATGCTCGAGTCCGACAATGGGGAAGGCACGGCTTGTTTCTTCGGAGCCGTCGACCGGGTATTTGTATTGGAATCCGCAAACTTGGATATAGAATAGTTAGTATCGTACGCTGCTCGTTTGAATAGGTTGAATAATTAGGGATATGACCAATATCAGGGTTGTTAGGCCTTAGGATGAAGAGCGGATAGCAAGTGAATGAAAAAACATACTGTTCTTCGATGTCCCACACTTCAGGTGGCCCTTGATCGAAGCCCCCTTCAGAATGTTACATATATTGAGTACATATGTGGTGTTCACGACGTGTTCCTCTGTTTTCTCAACATTGTAGAGCGAGTGGACGCCGCCTAGCTCACTTAGGTCGTACTTGAACCCGTCGACGTTGATGTGGGCGCAGTCGAAGCCGCTTGCAGCGCTTAGACTCGGTAGTAGAGCGGCGGAGAGAATAATCGAAGAGAGGCCTGCTGGTATTCGCATGGTGTAAATGTAAGGGAGAGAGGATAGACGAAGGGCGCTGGTGTCGTCGGTGTACTGTCTCGTTACGGGTTGGTGATGGTAGTGTTGCTGCGGTGATAGAGACGACGGAGCTCAACTAGATGCAATCTAGAGATAACTCTTGAGGTACCAGAGCCCCTAGATTTGTCGGGGTAGTGATGTATGATGGTGAAGATTGTGAATGATGGAAGGCTGGGATATCGACGGCCGGTATGTTATGTTAGGTGACGATAGCTTTGGTTTGGCCGTTCGGGATTATCTTTCTTTTCTCCGAGACCAGCGTCAACCTCTGCTGCAGTATATCAATGGATACAGGGACGGTCACCTCAGTAGTCCAGCGATATATTGCAGGTCTCAATTCGAAACTGGAAACGTACAGGACAGAGAGATTCTAAAAATGTGTCCGGTAAATGTGTTGTGTTGCTACTACTTACTTCTTTAGAGAGCGGAGAGCACATGACATGGGCCGATGATGATGTCACCCGACCGAGAGCCAATCAATCCATTCTACATCCATGTACAGTTGTCAAACTACATTTTGTTGCCGTTAGATTCTCTTAATACTCTAATGTACCTCCGGGTATCTACCTACTAGCCAAGGAATCATCGGGGCTCTTGGCCAGCCGGGGGGTGGGTAAGAGTATGGACGAGTGCATCTGACAATAATACAGCATATACTATTGGTGCGTGTGATCCTTGTACCGGAGGACAGTGATCGTGAAGGGTGCAGATGTTCTAGATACATATATGGACGGATGTGATAGAAGGTTGAGCAGAATGCTATAAGAAATGAAGCAAAACGAAAAAAGAAACAAAGGAGAAAGGAAAGTGCAAAAACTTATGACCAGACTGGGGCTCGATCCCAGGACCTTATCGGTGTTAACGATACGTGATAACCAACTACACCATCCGGCCAACTTGTTAAAGGATGTTTATTTTTTTAATACTAACCACCTAGGCATGAAAATATTGTTTTCTACGGCATCAAGGGCTATTGTACAGTAGTTAACTCGACTCTAGGCTTTGAGAAAGAATGTAAGTTCTTTCATGGTATGCCCTATCTTTCTTGATAAAGAGATATAATTTCTGTTCCTCTCTTCTCACATTGAGAGGTCATTATGTAGTCAATTACAAGTACATTGGTGCTGTGGCCCGCCATGAAAAGTTATATATAAATATTCACGCTTGGTTTCTCGGCTTCAACATGGGACATCTTTCAGCAGCTATCGACATGATTGCTATCGTCCAAAGACGAATACACACCAGACGAAAACCTTGAAGTGCCGAGTCATAATATCGAGGTAACGAATACGAACAGATACGGCAGAACAACAACAACAACAACAACAACAAAAAAAAAAAAAAAAAAGAATCAGGATGCAATCCCATGAACCCGTAAATACTGTCCCGAGTGACAAGTGCTTTCTTCCTGCAAAAATATTTCGAATCCGTGTCATAGTCCAGTACCCATAGCAACCCTGTAACCTGGTAGCAACTATGGGACCGTGCAAAGGGCTAGATCGTAGTCGTGCTCAATGGTCGTTTTCTCAACAAACGACTACGGGCAATACTGCGAAATTACCTACTGGAAATCACCTGCGATATAATCAGCTGTAGCTCTACTATATACAGGGAGCAGGCAATACTTACCATCGGGGATAGGGCCACATGACGATGTTACGCAGGGCTTGATAGCATTAAAAATCTCCTGCGAGTGGGGGGCAAGCGCACTTGAAATCACCACTGGAACACTTGGGTGCCGCTTGCTTCATACCCTTCTGGAGGCAAGGCAAGGCACAGCTGAAGTCTTTGCACTTGTGATAGCAACAAGGGTAACCGCGGCGGCCAGGGTAAGCTTCATATTGAATGGTGGGTGGAGATAGATGGGCTGGGCTAATGCTGGAGACCAAAGCAGGGTGAAAAGCAGATGAAAGTAATGGAGATGAGGAAGAAGAAAGAAAAAGATGTGGACCTAATACTATTGGTATCTTTGACCAACTGTAACAGAAGAATCTTACATGTTCATGTTCGGATGGTATCGCATCCAGGGAGCAGATTAAAATGCGGTCTGGGAGATAGAGTACTGAATATACCATGTGAGAGATCTAATAGGACATGGAACAGTCGTGTGTACACGTACGCAGTAGACCCCGAGTTTGCACAGCTTATAATACAAAGAAAAATTCCGTATATTGAACCTAAAGCACAGTTGAGCCACCCCGTATAATCCATAGTTAACCTAGCTAAAAAGGCCCCCCACTGAACTTGAAAGCCCACAGACCCATTAACTGTGAAGTTTCCGAGCCCTTCGACGTGGCTTGCGTCTCTTCGATCCACTTTTGTTGATCTGTTCCTCTGTCCCTTGCTCCCCACTATCTACGTAAGACCAATTAAGTCCCCGACACCTGAGCTGATCACCTTAGCCAGCCAGCTGGGATGAAGGCCCTCGCGCTTGTCTTCGTCAGTGCCCTCCATCTTACCTTATACTGTGTAGTAACACTGTGTGCTGCGAGCCGGGTATTTGACGATCTATACTCCATAGATCATGTCACAACGTCTCAGAATCTCGAAGCCACTACCGAGTCTGAATGATTATTGCCGCCCATCCTCTGAGGTGAATATTGGCAAGGCTCACACACATGGAATACCTTTTTTTTTTTTTTTTTTTTTTTTGGGAACTATTTCCGGACGTCTGCCGGGGCTCTAGCAGCCTCTAGAATTATGTCTCGATTCCGGGGCACGTTCTTCTGATAAGGAGGGATGCCAAGTGCCGGACAGTTCGTCACAATCAGTTTCTTCTCCGAGATATAAGAACGAAATAGGTATAGATATATATAGTAAATATATATATATATATATATATACATAAAATATACAACACCAGTAGGTTGAAGAGAATAAGCTTAAAGTAACAAGCCCATGGACAATCAGCCACAACATCCCCGCCAAGAACAACCGTGCACAGACCACCCACCGAAACCACATCAAACCGAATTAAACTTAGGATCTATCAAGAAGCAAAACCCTCCCCTCCTCCCCAATACTATAAGATATAAACACCCACAACCTAATCACAAAAATGATGCAACATCGCATGGTAAGTCCCCCCAATCTCCCCGGCACAAAACATCCGAGCTAACCAAACACCCCACAGCTCTCGAAAGAAGAGGAAGTCTCCGCAGCGGGAGAAGAGAATGAAGTTCGTCGCGAAGACCAGGAAAAGATCAACCGCTTCAGTCGGCTTCATCAACGCGAGACGCTGCTGGAGGAGCAGTTAAAGGCTAAACAGGTCGGTTTCGTCTATCCATTGTATTTGTTTGGGTTTTTTTTTTTTTTCTTTTTTTGCATATCTTTGCGAGGGATTCACCTTGTGTCGCTGGCTTCCGGAAATGATGTTATGTTATTGACGTGGTGTGTGGTCTGCATACTGACCTTTGATACTACAGAAAGATAAAGAGGATCTCGAGGAGATCTCTATGGAGCTAGAACTGGCTGATGAGGATGAACTGGTGCCGTGAGTGTTCATTCCTTCAATTCTATTTTCCTGCTTCAAAGTGTTTGTCGCCCTGACCCCAACAGGTACAAAATTGGGGACTCCTTCTTCCAACTTCCCCTTGCCGATGCCCAATCTCTCCTCTCTTCGTCGACGGAGCAGATCGACTCCGAGGTGTCGGGGCTGGAGGAGAAGCTGAGCGATCTGCGCGACGAGTTGCAGCAATTGAAGGTGGCGCTATATGCGCGGTTTGGAAGGAGTATTAACCTGGAAGTCTAAATCATTATCGTAATATTAAAAGGTCTTAAGGATCCGTGAATTATGCGGTATGAAATTGGATTGTGAGGTTCTATCATTAATTGCATAGAGGTCAAAACAAGTTCATGATTTCACTGTATGAAACATGGTCTATTGTCTAATAAGACAAGGTAAATTCTACAACACAGAAATGCATCTTCATAGTATGCTCGATGTAATCAAACGTATCGTATGGATATCAAAGATTCGGTCGTAAGACATATCTCGTTTCACATGCTCCACTGGACCCCAGACCATCATCTAGACAAATAGTACATATAGATAATACAGTCCACCTCCTTCCTGACGAAGGAAGTCTTCGTTGCCCTGGGCGTGTGTCCCTGGTTTCTCTCGTAAGATGTTAATTTGCAGAATATTGACTGCTCTAAGCCGGTTCTCAGGACACGTTTTATATTGAACCGACAATTGTTTCATGGTCGTTCCACAAGCTGACGCCGCGAGAGTGGGTCTCCACATGGAGACAAGAGTATGCGGGGGAGTCGCAAAGTCTCAAATTATGAGCAACAGATCCAGTGATTTTAGATGATGCTTGCGATTGTCATGCGTGAGTGGGATGAGGCCGACTGTGGCTGAGGTGCTGGCTCATCACTCCCAGGACTAGTCTGCACATCCATTCTATTGTATTCCTGCTGTTGCTTTTGCTTTTCGCTGATTAGATATTGAACAGTCTGTTCAACCCAATCCCATCCCTCCCAATCTTCCACTTCTCCTGTAGACAGATTGTCTCGGGCACCGGGGTGTGGCATTGGGACAGGACTACCGAAGTCAGTCAATGTCTCCAGCTGAGAGCCAGTCTCACTGCCTTGCCACACCCAGCTACCACCAGTTGTGCCTTGCATGTCGCCCGACACGTATGCCAACATTTCTTCGTCCCGCTCGGGATCGATACCATCGGGGCGGCGTAGCCGGTCCACAAGGCACTTCAAGAAAAATGCGATGTACCGCCCACAGGCTGCATTGACCGCTCGGGAGTCTCCAACCACAGCACTTGCCCGGACACACACCAATGCGGCATCATATTCCTGGCGGAACAGCAACACTAGCACACAACGCCAGATGTGGGTGCAGAGCACAGTTCCTGCAGAGGATGCCAACAAGGGCCGCCAATCATCATTTTCAGGAGGTGAAGAGTAACCATGAGGACCCGAAGGAGCCCGCATGCAGCGTGAAAGAAGGTGAGCAGTGTCTTGAGAAATTGAAACACAGTAATCAAGTGCCAACGATCGGACTTCGGGGGCACAGAAAGGGGAAATATTATGACGATAGAGGATGAGACGGGCATTCTGCAGGTAAATGAGTGGGAGGATAGAGCGGGGATCAAGATACAGGTCGGACTTCGGGTGGTACTGTGGAGGAAATGTCGCCTGACAAGTTTGAAAGTGTCGCTCGAATATTTCCAAGGTTGCCGGGCTGATCGTGGAGCTTCTCAACGTCCGGACCAACTGACCTATCGACCGAACGACATGTATAGTGGCCAGGAGTGGAGTGGTCTGTTGGCCTTCCGCCACAATGCCACCTTCTGAAATACACCGTTCGTCGATTGGACAAGGAAGGTCAACATCGCAATCCTGATCGTTGATGAG